CACCTGTACTGAAGAATTTGTGCAGGTGTAAATGTTGCGTTGTGTTTGTTGGAGACAAAAAATACCTACACATTTGCAAATTTGCTCTGCGAGTACAAATTTACTGATACACATTTGCAAATTTGCTCTGCGAGTACAAATTTACTGATACACATGTGTGGCTATTTTTTACAACTACAAATGACACTTTTTTTTTACAGCTGCTTGGGAGTTTTGCACCAAAAATACCTTCATAATGTCTTGCTGTGCAGACCACTTGACTTGATGATCAAAAGGAAGTTGAATTGTGCCATCTGTCACACTGCATGCAGCTGCACAGCCCACTGACAGCACACACACACCACAGACGTCTCGTTCTATACAAACATACACACACACACTCACAGTTTAATTTTAATGCAGTGACCTTTTCACAGATAAATACGACTGAAATGGCAGCCAGCCTTCCACGCCATTAAGTTATTAAGCCTCAATGCAGAAGAAAAAGACGAGAGAGACTAGAAGACGACAAGAGGAGAAGAAAACGAGAGGGATGTAGAAACACTGACAGAATGTGGGGGTGTTTGCTGTTGCACTTGTGTGGGAAGATGTGCTCTGTAGTAACTGCATGTGTGTTACCATGGGTCAAGTGCTGGAAGCTGAAATCACGAACCTTGAGAAGAATTTATGTAGTAAAGTTGTACATTTACCGCAGTATAAATCTACTGTGTGCTTAACATTAAGCGGTTAATTCAAATAATGTTAAAATTCATTTATCCATCAATTTTACATCGTATTAGTCCCTTTATTTAACTGGGGTCACCACAGCGGAATGAACCGCCAACTTATCCAGCATATGTTATACACTGCGGATGCCCTTCCAGCTGCATCCTAGTACTGGAAAACACTCACACACTCGTACATCTATGACCAATTTAGTTCATCAATTCATCCAAAGTGCATGTGTTTGGACTGTGAGGGAAGCTGGAGCACCCAGAGAAAAACTATATTTTTAGCAGACGTATCATTGCAGAAATTATGAGTTTCAAAAGGTCATTTCTAAATTTATATTATTGCAATTAAAATTAAAATTTTGTATTTAAATAAAATTGAAAACATAATTTATTCCTGACATTTAAAGCTGATTTTTTTTAGGATGAAAAATGTAAAAAATTAGTAGACAAAAATGCAATATTGCAACATACTGCTATCATATTAAATAACTTTTTAATATTGTTTAATATTCATTCATTCATTTTCTTGTCGGCTTAGTCCCTTTATTAATCTGGGATCGCCACAGTGGAATAAACCGCCAACTTATCACGCACGTTTTTACGCAGTGGATGCCCTTCCAGCCGCAACCCATCTCTGGGAAATTAAAGTTAAATAATTAAATAAATTCATTCATCCATTTACTTTTCGGCTTAGTCTCTTTATTCATCACGGGTCGCCACAGCGAATTAAACCGCCACCTTATCCAGCATATGTTTTACAAAGCGGATGCCCTTCCAGCTGCAACCCAGTACTGGGACACACCTATACACACTCATTCACTCACATACACTACAGTCAATTTAGTTTATTCAATTCACCTATAGTGCATGTGTTTGGACTGTGGGGGAAACCGGAGCACGAAACTCCACACAGAAATGTCAACTGGCCCAGCCAGGTCTCGAACCAGCGACCTTCTTGCTGTGAGGCGACAATGCTAATTGAGCCACCGTGTCGCCAATTAAATAAGCTACTTTTTTTTTTTTTTCTTGTACTGTCATGTAATTTATTCTTGTTATTTAAAGCAGGATTTTTAGTATCATTACTCCAGTCCTCAGTGGTCAATAATTTGCTGCTCAAATAGATTTGCTGCTCAACCTTAAAATTTTTTAAGGTTTTATTTTTAATTTTTTATTAAAAATAAAAAATGTTGAAAACGCTTGCTTCATGTTTTTGTGTAAACCATGAAAATATTACGATCAGCTCTGTGACTACATGTTTTATATCACACATTATCTGTTTTCACACCTTAAGTTTGGAGGAATGATATGATATCATATGTTATGGTGATATAATATTCATTCATTCATTTTCTTTTCGGCTTAGTCCCTTTATTAATCTAGGGTCGCCACAGCGGAATGAACCGCCAACTTATCCAGCATATTCATTCAGTTTTTTAATCAATTACAGTAATATTATTTACAAATATGAAAATGTTTGTTTAATTTTTTTACAATACAGCATGTGCACTAATATTTTCAGTCTTTCAGTAAATTTCTTATATTATAGACTTGCTTTGTTTACCAAATAAGTAAATGTAGATGGATTTGCATTGTAAACATTAAACAAAAACGTGATATATTTCATTTCATATACAAAGTTTTAGTTGGGCGATGCAGTGGTGCAGTAGGAAGAGCTGTCGCCTCAGAGCAAGAAGGTAGCTGGTTCGAACCTCGGCTCAGTTGGCGTTTCTGTGTGGAGTTTGCATGTTCTCCCTGCGTTCAGGTGCTCCGGTTTCCCCCACAGTCCAAAGACATATGGTACAGGTGAATTGGGTAGGCTAAATTGTCTGTAGTGTATGAGTGTGTGTGTGTGTGTTTCCTAGAGATGGGTTGCTGCCGGAAGGGCATCCGCTGTGTAAAAACTTGCTGGATAAGTTGGCGGTTCATTCCGCTGTGGCGGATTAATAAAGGGACTAAGCCAACAAGAAAATGAATGAATGAAGTTTTAGTTATAACACTCCCAAAATTATTCTGCATAAACCCACAGATTATTTTACACAATTCTGCGCAATAGCCAAAAATGCCGAATCTCTCCGGCCCAACTAATGACAAATCCACAGAACTGACAATAACATCCAAATCCCATATTAATTTGAGTCTTTCCTTCATTAATACTAACTGCATCATATTCAAGTCAAGACTGCAACAGTACAGTCTTTTACCAACAAGACATTCAGTACATCCTTTCTGACTTTGTTCAACAGTAAATGTGTCAACACAAATATGTCACCCATTTTCAAGAGTGAGACTAAAGTGCACACATACACACACACACACACACACACACACACACACACACACACACACACACACACACACACACACACACACACACACACACACACACACACACACACATAGATATATGAGTGTTTGAGACTGAAACACTCTTTTTTTCTCTATACCATAAACACAAACTCTATAATCATCCACAGATTGGAGGCTTCAACACTGCTCTCCATCACACTCCAGCTCCTGTAACCATGACAACACCTCCAGAGAGAAACAGCACCATCATCCTCTCTCACATTAACTAAATGCTAACAAGAACAAGACCATATGACACACAAAACACATTATCATAATCATCCTAAAGCCTTTAAGGTTTACTAGAGTAAAATAGAGTAAATTGTAGTACACTGTAGGAAATTTTGATGATTACTACAGTAGTAGCTATAGTGAATTGATAAGCCGTTGTAAACACTGTAGTATACACTTTACAAGTACTACAGTAAACTAGGGCTGTGCAATATGATGATATATATCGCATGGACAAAATATAAAGTCTATCCTTTAATTTGTGATGTCACAAAGGACATTGTTTACGGTAAAACATAACGTAAAATTATACACCATTAAGGGGATGCAGACAGAAACATGAATAAGCGAAACAGTCTAGAAAGTGATTCCTAAACTGAGGTAAAATATACACAGTATGGTGAAGTTGCGTTTTTTTTTACCTGACTAATGTAAACAGAGTGTTCCAGCATGGATTATAATGTAGTAAAATAATTTACAGTAATGATTTTGATTTTTTTAGCAAACACTCGGAAATATCAAGTACTCCAAAACATCTATTTAAAGGTTATAAGGGTTCAAATGCACCTCAATACCAATTTACACTCATCGGCCACTAAATTAGGTACACCTGTCCAACTGCTTTTTAACGCAAATTTCTAATCAGCCAATCACATGGCAGCAACTCAATGCAGTTAGGCATGTGGACATGGTGAAGATGATCTGCTGCCGTTCAAAGCGAGCATCAGAATGGGAAAGAAAGGTGATTTAAGTGTCTTTGAATGTGACAACAGAGGTCTGCTGAAGAGCATCTCTAAACGCACAACACGTCTAAACTTGAACCAGATTGGCAGCAGCAGCAGAACACAACGGGTGCCACTTCTGTGAGCTAAGTACAGGCAACTAAAGCTACTCCTCTAGCTATCTCACTAAAATTGGACAATAGAGGATTGGAGAAACGTTGCCTGGTCTGATAAGTCAATTTCTGTTGCATAATTGGGATGGTAGAGTCAGAATTTAGCATCCATAACATCAAAGCATGGATCCATCCTGCCTTGCATCAACGGTTCAGGCTGGTGGTGGTGGTGTAATGGTGTGGGGATATTTTCTTGGCACACTTTGGGTCCATTAGTACCAATTAAGCATCATGTCAATGCCACAGCCAACCCGAGTATTGTTGCTGACCATGTCCATCCCTTTATGACCACAGTGGCTACCTCCAGCAGGATATGTCATAAAGCGTGAATCATCTCAGACTGGTTTCTTGAACATGACAATGAGTTCACTGTACTCAAATGGACTCCACAATCACCAGATGTCAATCCAATAGAGCACCTTTGGGATGTGGTGGAATGGGAGATTCGCATCATAGATGTGCAGCCGACAAATCTGCAGCAACTGTGTGATGCTATCATGTCAGTATGGAGCAAAATCTCTGAGGAGCATTTCCAGCACCTTGTTGAATCTCTGCCATGAAGGATTAAGGCAGTTCTGAAGGCTAAACCGGTTCCAACCCGGTACTAGTAAGGTGTACCTAATAAAGTGGCCAGTGAGTGTATTTCCTCATTGTAGCAGTAAAGAAAACATTCCTGTTTATTTTACTATATAATACTATAACATAGTTATATAAAATAGTTACTATAACAAGTGTAGTAAAATTAGCACAACAAATCACCACATAATTGTAATTTACTGTTGTCAGATTGAAAAACACTACAGTATTTACAACTGAAAATGTACTGTACGTCCTCCAGTGCACTTACTGTAAAATACTACAGTACTTTTTTTTCATATAGGATAAATAAACAAAGTGCGTCAGTCGACAAGGGATGACACTGTGTCAGCATTATCACTAGCGGAGTAAAGTAACAAATTACAAACACTCAAATTACTGTAATTGAGTAGTTTTTCGCAGGAACAGTAGTTTACTAAGTAGTTTTATAAATGTGTACTTTTACTTTCTCTTGAGTACATTTTTAGTGCTTTATCAGTACTTTTGCTCCACTCTTTCCTTCAACTTGCAATCAAACTTTTATTTTTTCTTGTCTATGGGGATAGTAGAAAAGTTAAGTGATTCCTGTCCAGTCAGATCACACATAGAAAGTAAATCACATCACTGAACAACCTCAACACATGGCCACTATATTATTGCAGCAAACCATTTGAAAGCATTAAAATTGTCCAAGAAGGGATCCAAAATCTTAACATGCAATGACCCAGAGATGGTTTAGACTGCATGTCACTGATAAGAAGATGAAGCGTGTTTACTGTATGATGATAAAACCACCAATCGTCCTTAAACAATTACTAAATGCACTACAGAATGTTTCGTTTACACACACATGCACATATTACATGTAAATGCATCAGTCTTTCACAGCGTAATACCCACTACTCTCTACTCTTGAGTACTTTTAAAAAGGCTACTTTTTACTCATACTTTGAGTCATATTTACAACAGATACTTTTAGTCTACTCGCACCACATTTTTTGGCAAGTAATGGTTCTTTTACTTGAGTATGACTTTTCAGTACTAAATCATCACACCATAAAAATGACACAAAATACAAAATAAATGAAGCCAAATGAAACTGAGTGTCGTGTGATTCTTATATGATGCTGTTGAACCTGTGTGGAAGCAGCAGGTTTGTAAAATACTGAGGTAAAATCTGTGCAGTGTGGTGAAGTTGCTGATTTTACCTCACTGATGTAAACCGAGTGTTCCAGTGTGGACTATGATGCAGTAAAATGATTTACAGTAATTCATCTGATTGCTTTAAATATTAAATACACCAAAACATCCATTTAAAAAGATTATAAAGGCTAAAATGCCCATCAATTCCCATATATTTACTTATTGTAGTATTAAAGAGAACATTCATAATAATTTGTGTTTATTTTACTATATAATTAGATGAATTACCACAACACTATAATTTACTGCAGTAAGGTTTAGAAACACTGCAGTATTTACCATTGGAAATTTACTACGTCTTCCAGCACACTTTCATATGAGATGATAAATAAACAGTGTGTCAGTTGTCAGGCAACATTATGATCATTATCACACCAAAAATAATGCAAAATTCAAAATAAACAAAGCCAAATGAAACTGAGTGTCGTGTGATTCTTATATGAGGCTGTTGAACCTGTGTGGAAGCGCTAGGTTTGTAAAATACTGAGGTAAAAATCTGTGAAGAGTGGTGAAGTTGCTGATTTTTACCCCTCAATTCCCATATATTTACTTATTGTAGTGATAAAGAGAAAATTCATGAAGTAATTTGTGTTTATTTTACTATATAATAGTTGGATTACCACAACAAATCACCACGTCACTGTAATTTACTGTAGTAAGGTTAAAAACACTGCAGTATTTACCAATAAAATTTTTACTACATGTCTTCCTGTACACTTCCACTTAAATACTATAGTATTTTTTTTCATATGGGATGATAAATAAACAAAGTGTGTCAGTCGACAGATGACAGTGTGTCAGCATTATCAACATTATCACACCAAAAATGAAGTAAAATTCAAAGTAAACGAAGCCAAAGAAACTGAGTGTTGTTTGATTCCTATATGATGCTGTTGAACCTGTGTGGAAGCGCTAGGTTTGTAAAATACTGAGGTAAAATCTGTGCAGTGTGGTGAAGTTGCTGATTTTTACCTCACTGATGTAAACCGAGTGTTCCAGTGTGGACTATGATGTAGTAAAATGATTTACAGTAATTTATCTGATTGCTTTAAATATTAAAAACACCAAAACATCCATTTAAAAAGATTATAAAGGCAAAAATGCCCATCAATTCCCATATATTTACTTATTGTAGTATTAAAGAGAACATTCATAATAATTTGTGTTTATTTTACTATATAATAATTAAATTACAACAACAAATCACCACATCATTGTAGGTTCAAAACCACTGCAGTATTTACCATTGGAAATGTACTACATGTCTTCCAGTACACTTACTTTAAAATACCATAGTACTTTTTTCATATGGTATGGTAAATAAACAAAGTGCGTCAGTCGACGGAAGATGACACTGTGTCAGCATTATCAACATTATCACACCAAAAATGACGCAAAATTCTAAATAAATGAAGCCAAATGAAACCTGATGGTCGTGTGATTCTGATATGATGCTGTTAAACTTGTGTGGAAGTGCTAGGTTTGTAAAATACTGTGGTAAAATCTGCGCACAGTGGTGAAGTTGCTGTTTCCTTACCTCACTGTCCTCTGAAGGAAGAGCAGCATCAGCAGGTGCGGGATGCAGAGAGGAGGAAGAGGAATAATTAGCGCTCACACACAGATAAATACAGCAGAAACAGCGGTGTTGTGTGCGTGTCGTTACCGGATTTCATCGACCTGCTCTTGTATCGGATGTTGGTCGTCATGTTTAGGCTCTGCTGTGCTGCTCGGCGGCTCCGTCTGCGTCTCTCGCTCGGTCCCGCTGGGAAACCCAGGCGTGGAGGGGCGTGGCTGACGGTCACGAAGTGACCCGCCCACCGACACGTCATTCACAGAACAAGCTAACAGCAGGGGGTTTCAATCAGACGTAAAAGGCATCCGTCTTCTTATTATGTAAAATTACTTGAAAAGTATTTCTTTTTCTACTTTGTATAGTATTGAATTAACCTTTATTTCATTTATATGCATCGTTTTATTTGTGGCTAAACAATCTGTATTATTTTAATCTGATTATTTTTTAATACATATATATTTTTAATTATTTAAACATGTTTCAGTATTATTTTAATGATTATAAAAATGTTTTTAATAAACTTTTATTATTTGAAATTTTATATATTTTGAATATTTTTACATTTATTTTATTATACAAAAATATGCCTAATCTTCAAATATTTCCACCGCCCCCACACAAACACACTCTAATTACTTTAGTGAATAAATATGTACATACAGATTTTTAAAAAACCTTACAATTGAAATATATAGGAGAAAAATCTATTTCATTTATAATATACTGTACACTTACCGGCCACTTTATTACGTACACCTTACTAGTACCAGGTTGGACCACTTTTGCCTTCAGAACTGCTTCAATCTTTTACTGCATAGATTCAACAAGGTGCTGGAAATATTCCTCAGAGATTTTGCTCCATATTAACATGATAGCATCACGCAGCTGCTGCAGATTTGTCAGCGGCACATAAATGATAATAATCTCCCATTTCACCACATCCCAAAAGTGCTGTATTGGATTGAGATCTGGTGACTGTGGAGGCCATTTGAGTAAAGTGAACTCATTGTCATGTTCAAGAAACCAGTCTGAGATCATTCGCACTACATGACATGGCGCGTTATCCTTCTGGAAGTAGCCATCAGAAGATGGTCACTGTGGTCATAAAGAGATGGACATGGTCAGCAACAATACTCAGGTAGGCTGTGGTGTTGACACAATGCTCAATTGGTACTAATGGGCCCAAAGTGTGCCAAGAAAATATCTCCCACACCATTACACCACCACCAGCAGCCTGAACCGTTGATGCAAGGCAGCTTCAGGCTTTCATGTTGTTGACGACAAATTCTGACCCGACCATCTGAATGTGGCAGCAGAAATCGAGGCTCATCAGACCAGGCAACAATTCTTGAAACTTCAATTTTAGTCAGCCTGTGCCAATTGTAGCGTCAGTTTCCTGTTCTTAGCTGACAGTAGTGGCGCCCATTGTGGTCTTCTGCTGCTGTAGCCCATCTGCCTCAAGGTTGGACGTGTTGTGTGTTCAGAGATGCTCTTCTGCAGACCTCAGTTGTATCGAGTGGTTATTTGAGTTACTGTTGTCTTTCTATCAGCTGGAACTAGTCTGGCCATTCTCCTCTAACCTCTGTCATTAACAAGGCATTTGCGCCCACAGAACTGCCGCTCACTGGATATTTTCTCTTTTTCTGACCAACTCTGTAAACCCTAGAGATGGTTGTGCGTGAAAATCCCAGTAGATCAGCAGTTTCTGAAATACTCAGACCAGCCCGTCTGGCACCAACAACCATGCCTCCCCATTTTGAGGCTTAGTTTGAACTGCAGCAGATCGTCTTGACCATGTCTACATGCCTAAATGCATTGAGTTGCCTCCATCCTATTGGCTGATTAGAAATTTGCGTTAACAAGCAGTTGGACAGGTGTACCTAATAAAGTGGATGGTGAGTGTATATATTTCATAAACAACATACTGAATATTATAAATACAAACTACTCAATATATTTTAATATATATATATATATATATATATATATATATATATATATATATATATATATATATATATATATATAAACAATAATATTAAATTTAACTAACTGTATTAATACATCATTTAAATCAAGTTTTAAAACAGTTTACCTTCAATAAAAGCAGGTAAAACACACTTTACATTTTTCATAAAACTCTACATATTTTCTTTCTGTAAATGAGTATATGCATATCATTTGCAGGATT